CTTCATTTTTTTTGTGAGTTAGGTAAATGAATTATTTTTTTTTCTTATCGATTTAATGTTTATATACTTACATAAATAGTTATTATATATTAAACATCAGTTGTTTTATTTTTAAAATATTCCTCTAGCTTAAGAAAAAAACAGAGATTGTCCATTTTAAAAGGCGACAAATGATCAAGCAACCTTTTAACAACAAAGTAGCCAATTGACTATTGCCCATAGATTTCTTACTAATATTATAAATGCATATGTTTGGATGGTTGGATGTTTGTTAGAAGATATCTACAGAACGGCTGAACGGATCACGATGAAATTTGGCATACATATAGAACAAAGTCTGGAAGAACACATAGACTACTTAAGTTTTTTTATTCCGCGCGGACGGAGTTGCGGGTGACATCTAAGTAGTAAGTAATAAGTTAAAAGGTTTGTGTTGCCTATATGTACAGACAGGGCCGGCGTTAATATATGGCGCGGTTGGGAGAATGCCCAGGGCTCTACAGAAAGGGGCGTCACATTGCGAATTACAGTCTCGCATAACCTAACTTTCCCGACATGGAAAAAAAGCACCGTAGAAATCTTTCCAAGCGTGTTAGTATAGATAAAACCGATATTACATGCAGAAAAATGGCATGTCCCTTCTTATTTATCTCTCCCCTGTAGAATCCACTTCAACTTCCCATCTTTTCCTTACTAAAATGGTGGGAAAAGGTCTAGAATTGGGCGATGGAGTCTTCAGCAGACGGCGGAGCTGTTCAATGACGGTAATTAGAGTTAAGGATTCAAAAGATGAATAAATATAGCAAGAAGGGTTTGATGGAAACCAGAAATTTTGAAATAGGTTGACAACAAAGATCTCTATAAATAGAAAGGCGATTCAGATTTAAACGCGCCTGTTAATGTTGCATGACAGTTAATTCTATCTTATTAGTGCGAATTCTCACCACCACAAACCGCTACCATCAGCGCCAATATGGCGGAAATCAAATAGGCACGAAATACTACGTCTTATAGCCAGTTCATTTATAGAGGTAGAAGGAAAGTTTGAGAATCTGTGGACTTGTCTATATTCTATTTAGCTATGGTTTGTAAAACGAGGCTGTTTTCGTAGCTATAAATTAATGACATGCACATTGTAAGGGTTCGCGTGTTTCCAACAAATGTTCGGACTCCCACGTTTATTGTCTTTGGAAATCATAACAAGTACAATGAGACCTGCTTTTGTTAATATTTTATTAAAAGTACAGATACGTAGCAAAAGTTTAAGTACAATTTAATATTTATTTCAGTATTGTTAAAGCACTCATAAATACATGTTGTCCCTTTTTATTCTTTGAAGAAAATGCAACAACGATACCAGTTTAACAATGGTAGAGCCCGCTTTAACATCTTCGCACGAATTGTCCCGGCTCGCCCGGTGAAATACCACGACCACACAGAAGACAGGCGTGAAGTGGAAGCAATTCCGCGTTTCGTCTGATGAGTGTGCGTCCCGGAGGCCTTACTTAGTCCCCTTTTTCTTATAAGGAAAGGATGGAAAGTGGAAGTGGACTTTCCGGATGAGAGGATGCTTGGAAAGGGAAAATATTTTCTTTCTGTGCATCCTCTCCTCCGTCGATTAAAGGTAGGCAACGCATATGCAATTGCGTATGTCTATGGGCATCGGTTACTTCGCTATTTCAGCGATTTCAGGTGGCCGCTCGCTCGTTTGCCACCTTATGATATAAACAAAATAACCCTAAATACAATTGCAGGTAAGTGGAATTATATGTTTTTGCTTATATCTCTGAATAATACAATTTAAAAAATACAGATATGTGACAAAATTAGCACTAAATTTTTATTTAAATTAGACTAATTCGTAATTTTGTTAAAGAAATAAAAAATGTGACAAAAAGATTAAAACAATTTTTCTCATGATTGTACATCAAGAATCTTTAAATTATACGTCGTAACCAATGTTGTTAAGCATCATTTATCCTTTACTTAATCGATTATTAACGTTTCTGGTAAACCTTTGAATTTTCGCTTGAAAGATCTAGTCATATTTAAATTGAAACACGAAACTGTTGTCTTTATGTTTACGAAAATTAAAGAACGAATATAATCATAATATAATTAAAAAAACAAAACACTTTTAACTCCATCGTTATTAAATTCTGCATAATTCTTAAGTTTTATTTTGTTTTTATAAACGTCAATGTTAATATTGTAGTAAAAAGTTTAGTCATTTTATGCCTAATTAATTTTACATATATAAAATAAATTAAAAAACAAATTCGTGTTATGTTGGAAAAATTGAGAATTATTTTTTTTTTGTTTTTGACATTATTCATACCGTATTTACTGCAAGAATATATTTCTGCAATATTAATAAGTAAAGTCAAAGAGTGCAACTGTCGTTCATGTAACAAATATTAAAAATGGCGCTAAATTGTTTTTTGGTTATTTTCTTTGTCAATTTCGGTTGTGTTGTGTCTGAGATAAGTTTAAGATTCAGTAAGTATATAAAAATTAAACTAATATTTTACGAGAAAAAACGTCAAAAAACGCTGTAATTTGTTTTGCTTACTTGTAACTTTGCTAATTATTTCTTGCAGTTTTTATAATAGAAAAACATGAATTGGATCTTCCCGCACAGATCGGTGTTGCTATGAAAGTGACAGAGGAAGCGAAACCGGATGTTCAGCTTAGTGACGATATTATACAACTGGATAGAGAAAATGAAGAAGAAAGTTATAGGAAATGTTAGTTATTGAACCGCCATAAGGTCATTTAGCTAATGTGTCCCTTAGCATTAGTCGAAATCTACACTAACTGCCACCCTTAGTGACGTAAAATAAATACGTAATATCGTGTAAAGAGTAATTAAAGCCTTAGTCAACTTTAAACGTACCTTCGAATTTCTTGGTAGATCTGTGCGATATCACGATGTTTTCCTTTACGTTAAGAATATCGGCTAAATGTTACAAAATACGAAAAACAAATTGGATGTCGGTGAACGTTCTAAAGAAGGGGGTCTATCACGAACATTCGTAAGAACGTTTTCATAACGTTATTGACCTTTGTATCAAAACTGCAGCGCTCCTACCGGACGTAAAGAACACCAATATGTCATACTTTTGTCATATTTTGATGAGGTGTTTGTCGTAAATATTCGACCTAGGCTCTCTGTACCTAATTCTTTGTTTCCAGTATGTTCCTCTCTTGGTAAAGGAGCTACCATCATTATTGACGTATCCTGGTCACCATGGGAGATGGTTGACCAGCTCGGAATACCAATTCTCCGTACTTCATTGTATTCACAACAGCTGGTGACAGCAATTGATAATTATTTGGAATCTAGGAACGCGACTGACGCCGCCATATTAGTGGAAAGTGAAAGCGGTATGTTACAAAATGGCGACTAATTTTTAACTTATTATTTTTGGTTATATTTAGAACTTTAGACTGACAAAGGGGTCAGACAAAGTGCATTCGCGAAAGAAGTGGAATTTGATTTTTCAGATCAGGGAATGCTTAGGAAGGGAAATTATTTTCTATCTGAGCATCCCATCCGTCGATTAAAGACTACTGCAATTGCGTATGGTGTTCTTTGATATTTTAGCGAATTCAAGGCAGGATTATTTGCCTTATAATATATAAAAAAACCTTAAATAATTCCAGATCTAGACAGAACTCTTTATGAGCTACTAGGCAGGTCTAATATACGTGTTTGGGTTGATACTGGTCTTACCACAGAATCCTCTACAATACTGAGGAATATGAGACCTGAGCCGAGTTTCTTTGTTATAATTGGTGAAGGAGGCTTCGTTAAAAATACTTATAAACGAGTAAGTATTATTACCAGTAAGAGTAAGATCATGCTAAGATAATTAGTCGACTAACTGTGGGATTCTGAGTCTAAAATCTTCGTTTAAAACATATTTTTATCATTATCTTTAAGAAAACATCCATCTAAATATTCGCATTTATAATATTAGTAAGTTAAATAAAAAGCACCTCTTCAAGGCATAAATTCCAAAAAAAGAATAAATAGTATCCTATGTCCGTCTCCTGGCTCTAAGCTACCTCCTCAACAATTTTCAGGCATATCGGTAAAGCCGTTCTTGAGTTATAAATAGTGTAACTAACACCACTTTCTTTTATATATATAGATAGATAAAATTAATTTTGAAATTAGAACTACACTTTTTTATTTCGATTAATGGCCATCGAATATATATTGCGTTGCACTAATATCGAATTAAACGTATCGATTTTATTAACGGAATTCGATTGACATTTATATTTGAAGTCGATATTGTTTGGAAGAAAAACCGACAATGTGCTGGTGTGGCGCAGCACTAGCCTTACTACATCAACGTTTATGTCCCCTCACTACATTTGACACTTGACTTGGTAACAAAAGCGCGCTCGCGCCAAAGGATTCTAGCTAATAATATCTAATAATATCGATTCCATTTCAATCGATGTTTTTAAACAGATTCCTTACGAGACTTACCTTTTTTTTACTTAAAAGGCAGTTAAAGAAAAACTCGTACTCCGTGACAACCGCTGGAATCTTGTCATAACAGACTACACGGGACATAACTTCGATATATCCCAGCTGGTACTCCCAACTGTTATCTTACATCTGGACGCAGCAGAGTGCTGTAAACTACAAGGTCTGGACACCTGCATCTGTCCTGAAGATTTCCCGGTAAGCGTCAACACAACAATTTTATAATAGGCGTCAAATGGAAGCAATTCCAACTACAATCTGATGAGTGCGTTCCCGAAGGTTAATTTTAATCCTCTTTCCTTTCCTACCAATTTCCTATAAGGTAACGATGGAAAGATTTTGTGGACTTAGTGTAAGAAAGGTCGCATCCTCTTTGTGTGTATCCCCTTTCTGTCTATTGGCGGCGTACGCTTCGCTATTATGGCGAATTTATATAGCTGTTGGCTTGTTTGCCATTTTATAAAAAAAAAAACACTGTTTGGTCTCTAGCTAATCCTCCATTCAGCCTTTCTTTACTTAATCTGTTCCGTTCATTCAGTTGGGTCATAAAAATTAATTCTAATCGCATTTTATAATATTAGTAAGATAAACATATTTAGGTACAGTCACTAGCAGTTGCCCGTTACTCCGTCCGAAGTAGCTTATGTGTTCTTCCAGACTATGTTCTACATCTAACTTTCAGCGAGATCCATGCAGCCGTTCTGGAGATACATCCATTTAAACCAGTGTTTCCCAAAGTGGGCGATAACGCCCCCTTGTGGGCGCTGCAGGTCTTAAGTTGCGGGTTATAGTAAAAGTTTCCTTTACAATTCTCTGTTAATATACATATATAGGTGACAATAATTAATTAATTTAATTTGAAGTTATAGTGGTTTTTAAATATGTGAAAATATGGGGGCGCTAAAAAAATATATATTCTCAAAGTGGGCAGTAGACAAAATAAGTTTGGGAAACACTGATCTAAACATTCGCATTTATAATATATTATTTTCTAGAGAAAGCAATACATTCTCAACAACCTACTACAATTCTTAATAGATATATTCAGGAAAGTCCCGAATACGTCTACTATAATACGTTGTGATGAGTCTAGTAAAAATCAGAAGACAGATGGATTCCAAGAGTTACTGGCTACGGAGACATATGGAAATGATAGTCTGTTCTTTTGGAATGCTGATAGGTAAAAATTGTGCTAGTCAAAGACTTTTATTTCGCACCCTTTAACAACAGCTTGAAACCCTAAAGGTACGTGTCCAATTGTCCCGTACCGGACGCATCACACGCTTCGGATTTTAGTTTGCGTATGATTTTACATAGCACTGCGTATGTCCGCGTCGCTCGCATCAAGACAAAGCCGAGACCATGAAGGCTTACCTTTTTTATTAAAATACTAGCAGTCGCCCGCGACTCTGTCCGTACAGAATAAAATTAAACTTAATAGCTTAAAAAGTAGCCTGTGTGTTCTTCCAAACTATGTTCTACATCTATGTAAGATTTTAGCGAGATCTATGAAGACGTTCCTGTGATACATACAAACAAACATCCATACAAACATTCGCATTTATAATATTAGTATGATTGTCAAAACAGATCCAGTCTACTCTTAAGATCTCAGTTCATTTTATCTTCTGCTAAAACCGGAGTATCAGAGACAGTCGCGAGCTGGTCTGCTAATGAGAAGTACAAGTTGTTACCTGATGCTGTACTGGAACCTATCAGGACATTCTACAGGATAGGAACAGCGCCTGTAAGTCACCGTGAACTTGGCCAATTTAAAACCATTTTAATACTATCATCAGCTCACTATACCCCTTTGAAGGTCTCAGAGTCTACCCTAAGTGATGTGACTAGGTGATAATGAATGCTGGTCCAGTGCATCACTTCACACATATCTTTGACATTCACAGATATGTGCAACATCACGATGTTTACCTTCACACTAACAACATAGGATAAATGCACTTATGTACAACACATTGGTACATAGCGGGATTCGAATCCAGAACCTGCTGACAAGTCAGGTGTTTAACCCATGAGTCGATGACTATATTTGGGTATTATACAGGCTATACCATGGACTATGAAGAAACTGGACTCGGCTGGAGAGGTTATGTTGGATGAAGAAGGTCAGCCTCTATATGAAGGATATTGTATTGACCTAATAGAAAAATTATCACAGGTAAGAGATACATCGAAATGATACAAAATAATAAAAAAGTAATATCGTCGTAAATTATTTAACACGGTACGTAAATCGTAAAATCATGGAGATACATTCTAATATCCATCTAAACATTCATCATCAGGTCACTATAGGTCCCCACTGAGCTCGGAGCCTAAGTTATGTGACTAGGTCATAGTCAATGCTGGCCCAGGGCGGGTTGACTTCACACATATGTTTAAATTTTTTCTCAGATATGTGCTTTACGATGTTTTCCTTCACACTAAGAATGTCGGATAAATGTACATATCTAAATCGGAACTCGAAAAACATATTGGTACATGGCGGGATTCGAACCCAGGACCTGCAGATTGCAAGTCTTGACCCCTGAGCCACCGATGCTCTTTCGTTCTCGCTAAATATTCGCATTTATAATATTAGTAAGATTTTTTTGTATTTTAGACAATGGATTTTGATTACGAGATTGTAACTCCTAAGTCCGGTGACTTCGGTCAGAAACAACGTAATGGTTCTTGGGACGGACTCATAGGTGATTTGATGACAGGGGTGAGTTTTTACAATTAATCTTGGGTTTCTAACAATAAAAAGTCAATTTAAAACATATCTCCGTTTTGTCAGCAAAATAATGTCAAGCTAACGTTTGCCATTTTTCTATAGAAAACAGATATAGTCGTCGCAGCTCTCACTATGACGGCAGAAAGAGAAGAAGTCATAGATTTTGTCGCACCATATTTCGAGCAAACAGGGATCTTAATAAGTAAGTGTTGATAATTGTATAATATTCTGACATTTCTCTGACTTGACTATTGTTAATAACACAAGCTTCTTTGAGTTGACTTGAAATGGTTCAAAGATATATTAATTCAGTAGCTGACCGCGACTCTGTCTGTGCGGAATTAAAAAAAACAGTAGCTTATGTGTTCTTCCAGACTATGTTCTATATGTATGTGAAATTTCATAAAGATCCGTTGAACCGCTCCGGAGATACCTTCAAACAATCATCCATCAATCAATACTGTCGGATTTATAATATTAATATGATACAATTGACAAAAACCTTCTTATATTTAGAAAAAAAACATTGCAACCCATTTAAATGGTATGACGTGTATAAAACAGCTCTGAATCGGTTCAAAAGTCCACAAAGACTTGAACCGATGATCCGACTCAACGACTAAATTGGCAACTCACACATCGCTATGTACAATAACTATTTGAATAGCAGTTCACAGATCGGATCTCAAATCACATAATAATTCAAAGTGCCAATAACCTAATGATTAAGAGTACGGATTATCGATCAAGTCGTCATGAGTTCCAATCTCGCTATTCGACTATTGTAAACCTTATCACAAGCCTTTAGCTTAATAGGTACAATACAAGAAATATACATTAGTAAATTAACAAATCTACTATAATAATATAAAAAAAAAACTATAACAATATGAATTGTGGTGAACTGTGAATCGGTTCACTGATCCGCAGATTTTTACTTCCAGCGATTCGAAAGCCAATACGTAAAACATCACTGTTCAAATTCATGACAGTATTACGTACAGAAGTATGGCTCAGTATTGTAGCGGCCTTAATACTTACTGGTGTCATGATCTGGTTATTAGAGAAATATTCTCCTTATTCAGCTAGGAATAATCCTGAAGCTTATCCATATCCGTGTAGGTAAGTAATCGACATATTGCCGGTGTGTCAACGCAACACAAGACAAGACTAAAATATCAACGTTTATGTCCCCTTACTATGTTAATCTTTGGAATAAAAGCGCGCGCGTTCTAAACGTTTTTAACTTATTGTCTAAATCAGTGGTTCCCAAACTTATTTTGTCTACTGCCCACTTTGAGAATAAATATTTATTTAGCGCCCTCATATTTTCACATATTTAAAAACCACTATAACTTCAAATTAAATTAATTAATTAGGATAGGATAGGATACATAGGAGGCATAGGATACATATGTAAATCGGAAATAGAAAAACACATTGGAGTAATATTGTAAAATAATTGTAGCTAATGGTTTAAAGATGTGAGAAAAAATATTTTCCTATTTTTAGAAGAAACATTATAAAATTTGTCTATTTTTTCAAAATTGAAATTGAAATAAAGTACTTAGTGAAATATAAAATCCTCGTAATATCAAATACTCAAATATAACACATTTAATATAGGGAGTTTACATTAAAAGAGAGTTTCTGGTTCGCGTTGACATCGTTCACTCCGCAAGGTGGGGGCGAAGCGCCCAAAGCACTATCAGGTCGTACCTTAGTGGCCGCCTATTGGTTGTTTGTGGTTCTAATGTTGGCTACCTTCACCGCCAACCTCGCCGCATTCCTCACTGTCGAAAGGATGCAGGTAATATAGCTATCACTTTCTTTCCCTTTGCTAATAACAGAGACAAAAATGCAACAGTTGCTAAACGGTTGCTCTGACCTATAACCACTGGACAGGCTATTTACTGTAGAATTTTGTGTCTATATTTATTTTGGTGTTCTTATTGTAGTGTTGTTGGAAACTCGAATTTATAATAGATATACATAGAACTAGCGGACTCGAAAGACGTTGTCCTGTCTACACGTCTTTAATTTGAATAAATTATTATAAAGTTAATATTTGATGAAAATTGTGAATCTAAACCATTCCCAGATCCCCTTGAACACACACAAAAAATTTCATCAAAATCGCTCCAGTCGTTTGAGAGAAGTTCAGTGACATACACACGCACAGAAGAATTATATATATAAAGATTAGCCGATACCTTCATTTACTTTGTTACTTTAGGTTGCTAACTTAAAAAGTTAACTTTTAAGTAAGAATTAAGCAAAATTTGAATTTCAAAGCAATGTCCTGTCCAGTGGATCTTGGTCAGTGTGAAGTAAGATAAATTTGCTACTGTGAAGTTTGTGACTTCATCAGATTTTGTCTGGTAAGGTGTCATTTGATTCGTTATAACTCTGAGTGTTATAGGATTACAGCCAGGCAAGTTTTTTCCTGTTTGAAACAAATAAATGTGTGTCTCCGTGCGCAGACGCCGGTGTCGTCTTTAGAACAATTGGCGCGTCAGTCACGCATTAACTACACAGTCGTGGAGTCTTCCAATGTACATCAGTATTTTATCAATATGAAGTTTGCTGAAGACACACTATACAGGTTATTTTAAAGATACTTCGTATTTTCATCATCAGCTCATTATACGTCCCCACTGAGGGTCTCGGAGCCTACCCTGAGTTATGTGACTAGGCCATAGTCAACCACGCTGGCCCAGTACGGGTTGACTTCACACATATTTGTGAATTTTCTTCTCAGACAAGTGCAGCATCACGATGTTTTCCTTCACACTAAGAACATAGGATAAATGTACATATGTAAATCGAAAAACACATTGGAACATGGCGGGATTCGAACACTGGACCTGCAGATTACAAGTCAAGTGCTTAACCCCTCAAGGGGTTTAACCCCTGAACCACCGACGCTCTTGCTTATACTTCTTATACTAATTGTAAATAGGTGCAATCATTGATAAAGCAACCAATTAAGTTCTTATTGGTCAGGTATAAGTTTTTTTTAGGAAAAATCCTGACGTCCAGAACAATGGACTTTTCATCCTTAGTGTGAATACGTCCCTGCCTTATTTCCATTAAATACATTATAAATTGATTTAAATAGTCCGATGTTTGTGCAGAGTTTGGAAGGAGATAACTTTAAATGCAAGTTCGGATCAAGCTCAATACAGGGTATGGGATTATCCTATTCGGGAACAGTATGGGCATATTCTTCTAGCTATTAACGCTTCTGGTAAGTAATATATACAGCCTACAAGCTGTCGCCCGTAACTCCGTCCGCGCGGAGTTAAAAAAAACCATAATTTTAAAAACATTTTCTTTCTACTATGTGCTATACGTAAGCCAAATTTAATGGAGATCCGTTTAGCCGTTCTAGAGATATCTTCAAACACCCATCCATCCATTCACATCACATCCATCCAAACATTCGCATTTATAATATTAGTAAGTTAAATAAAAAGCAGCTCTTCAAGGCATAAATTCGAAAAATAAATAAATAAATAGTATCCTTTGTCCGTTTCCTGGCTCTAAGCTACCTCCTCAACAATTTTCAGGCATATCGGTAAAGTCGTTCTTGAGTTATAAATAGTGTAACTAACACGACTTTACATATATAGAAGATTACAGCTAGATTCATGCAGCTGTTCTGAAGATACTTTTGAACGAACATTCATCCAAACACTCGCATTTATAATATTAGTATTCTAATAATATTGAACATAATAATATAATAATTATTGAAATCGGTTCAATAGTTTTTTAGTTTATTCGTTACAAACATAGACATCTTTCTTGTTAGTTTTTTGGTATTTTCAGGCCCTGTAGTTGATGCGAAGACCGGCTTTCAAAAGGTTAACGAGCATACAGAAGCAGATTTTGCTTTTATACATGATTCAGCAGAAATAAAGTAAGTGTTTTCATTTAGAAATGATAATTATGTCCTTAATTTAAATATTATTTAGTCGATTTTATCTCTATTCTATTTTTTTTACCATCCCTTTGATCTCAAATTGATTAACAAGGCTATGTGAGAATTCATTCGTCCCGTCATCTGTCCTCGTCATCAGCGCCCTGGGCGGTCGCCCAACCGAGCCCTATCCTAACGCCGGCCCTGGTTACACCTTAATACAGCGGCTAATTTTTCTATATTTCTCGAAACTCAGACCGGCTCAGTTTTAAAATTAAATGGTAGATTTGACCTTGAAATATAAAAAAATTCAAATAAACAAGAAAGAATGTTTTGAAAACTCGGTGTTTCAAATCAGATATGAGGTGACTAGGAACTGCAACTTGACTGCAGTGGGCGAAGTATTTGCTGAACAGCCCTATGCTCTGGCGGTGCAGCAAGGCTCCCGGCTCCAGGAAGACCTGTCAAGAGCACTGCTGCAGCTCCAGAAAGAGAGGTTTCTGGAACAACTAGCTGCTAAGTAAGGGCAAAGTTTCTTTAGAAGAAAGTTATGGATTTTACATTCAAATGAGAGTCACTAAATCACTATATTTTACACTGACGATCACCCGCGACTTCGTCCACACGGAAATAATAATAATAATAATAATAAGTAGATTATGTGTTCTTCCAAACTATGTTCTACATTTATGAAAAATTTCAGATATTCGTTGTGCCGTTCCGTTACCGAGATACATTCTAACAGAAATCCATTTAAATATTCGCATTTATAATATTAGTAAGATTTAATAGCACACGAAAACTATTTACATTTATTTATTTACGCTGAACGTATTGTGTGAAGAACAAAAACGCCATTTTTGTTATTTCGCGTTCGCGGCCTCTCATTGGTTGATGCGTTGCTCGCGCTGACAGCAACTGACAGAATAAATTTTTGTCTGTGGCTTCCTCACCATTTAATATTTAACTAAATAGACTGGCTATAAGACTTATATTTTGTGCCTATTTGATTTTTGCTATTTTGACGCTGATAGTACCATGTAGCGGTGTGGATTCGAAGTAATATAGATCAGTGTTTCCCAAACTTATTTTGTCTCCTGCCCACTTTGAGAATAAATATTTTTTTAGCGCCCCCATATTTTCACATATTTAAAAACCACTATAACTTCAAATTAAATTAATTAATTATTGTGACCTATATATGTATAGTAACGGAGAATTGTAAAGGAAACTTTTACTATAACCCGCAACTTGAGACCTGCAGCACACACAAGGGGGCGTTATCGCACACTTTGGGAAAGACTGATATAGATAGTTAAATGTCACGTAACAGGCGCGTCTAAATTGCAACAAAGTAAAAGCTGTTATATCCAAGAAATCATCTATACATTTATAGAGATGAAAGGCAAGTATGAAATTTAAGAAACTTTATAGTTTTTATTGTTAACTCAGATATTGGAATGAGACAGCTCGACAGATGTGTCCAGATGCGGATGAGTCTGAAGGAATTACATTAGAAAGCTTGGGTATGTATTCTTTAATTTATAACTGATCTACAAATTCACAATAAAATTATATTAAAAACTAGCTGTCTCTCGCAAATTAAAAAAAAAAACTTAGTAGTCTATGTGTTCTTCCAGACTATGTTCTACATCTATGTCAAATTTCATCTAGATCTATACAGCCGTTCTGGAGATATCTTCTAACAAACATACATCCAAACATTCGCATTTATAATATTAGTATGGTATATTTCAAGGCGGTGTCTTCATAGCCACACTATTCGGTCTCGGCTTAGCAATGATAACTTTAGCGTGGGAAGTGTTCTACTATAAACGTAAAGAGAAAAACAAATTACGTCAAATCGAGGGCATAGACAAGACAGAAGCTTTCGCGCCGAAGAAAATTAAAAAGAAATCTAATAATGTTGCCAGGTTACGAAAAGTTACTAATATCAGTAGGAATGTTACTATAGGTGATAAATTTAAACCTGTAACTGAAAAGAGCGTTTCTTTTATTAATGTTTTGCCTAAGAATGATTTTATGCCGTAGATTATTCGCTTATAATGACATTGTCGTAGTAACCGATGGTGTATAAATGCATCCTTCAATCGGGCATTCTTTTTAACTGGTTAACTTCGTAGGAAATTAATTAGAATTTTAACAAAGTATTTTTTTTTAAATAAAAAGCACATTTTGTCAATCACAATAATAAATGTTATATGTAATTTTGCATAATACAGATATGAAAATTGCATTAAAATAAAGCTTAGAACAAATTTTATTTGGTCTTTTTTTAATCTATGATTCCTTTCATGCCTTTTTAGTAGACGAGGATATAAAGAAAATGGGAGATAAACAAGAAATAATAAAACATATTATTTTAAAACATTTAATATAACATAAATCTTATATATTACATTTATAGTTATTTTCTAGACATTTTTAATTTTTATTCTTAACGTGTGTTCCTCAGGAGACCTACCAATTTAATGTGGTAGATTTTTCTACTAAAACAATTTTAATTGATTGATTGGTAGGAAACTACCAAAACAAACTTTTGCACTTTCTTACCAAACTAATTTTAGTAGAAAAACCTACCAAAAACAATGCAATTTTGGCAGAATTCATAACAAAATAAATTAGGTAGAATTTCCTACCAATTTTTTGGTAGAATTTTCTACCAAAACACTCTCGCGGTAGGTTTTTCTACAAGCACCGACTTCGTCTCGAGCACCTTCTTACCAAACGACGTCTTGAACTTATCCAAATTCAAATATTCACCATCATTCACATCGCGAATCAACTTCTTCACCCTTTCCTTTGAATCCTCAACAAAACAAGCGGCCAATTTCATTTCAACTTCAGCATTCCTTAAACCTATACAGTATGCTCTGAAAAAAAGTGTTACAAAATAAATTTCAAATCAAAACACTTTTATTTCCGAACATACTGTATACAATTTGCATTATTATAAATCTCCAATAGTCTAATAAGTAACCTCTATAAATGGATAGGCTATAAGACGTAGTATTTTGTGCCAACTTGATTCCCGCAATTTTGGCGCTGATGGTAGCAGTTTGAAGAGGTGGTGAGGTAACGAACTAATATATATAGATAGAATAAACTGTCAAGTAACATCAAATGGCGAGTTTAAATCGTAACAAAGCAAATGATGTCAATTTCAAGCAATCGCCTATCCATTTATAGAAGTGTGTTCGAATCCCGACTTTTGACTTTAGTGAAACATATCCTGAAATAATTTGAAACTTTATTTTGAAATAAATAATACAAAGAATATAATTAAAATTGCTTTGGTCGGCATTTATTTTTTAATTCCTTGTTTACTGAACGTGGAATTAAAAAAGCCTAATTAGTAGCCTACTAGTAGCTTAAAAAATACTTAAATAAATAGCCTATGTATTCCAGACTATATTCTACATCTATGACAAATTTCAGCAAGATCTTTATCTAACATTATAATATTAGTAAGAAATAATATTAACAAAAATCTTACTAATATTATAAATGCGTATAGATGGATGGATATTAGATGGTTGTTTCTTAGAAAGTTTAGATGTAGATGTTTTAAAAAAGCGTCAATACCCTAATGGTTATGGGTACGGATTTCCGATCACGTGGTCGAGAGTTCGACTATTGTAAACCATATCCTAGCACAAGCTTAGAGCTTAGTTGGAATGGTACAAGAAATATTAGTTAATTTACAAAAAAAACTGCTAATAATTTATAAAAAAAAAATACCTCCAGAACTGTTGTATGGATCTCAATAAAATTTATCATAGATGTAGAACATAGTCTAGAATACATTGGTTACTAATTTAAGTTTTTTTTACTCTGACAGCTAATAAAAAAAAACTTGTTACCTGGACGCCCTCGCCAGTACAGCAGTCATAGCTAATATCTCACTGCCAGCTTCCGCCATTCTGTTTAATTCACTGGAAATATATTTATAATGTGATACAGGCTGTTGTTTTACATTAATTAATATTAATTATAACTAAACGAAACAACTATTAATCTGGAAGACTATACAGAGTGTTGTTTTCTTAATTATTACAATGATTAAATATTTTATTGTATTATCTTCATGTAACACTATATACAGGATGTTGTAAAATTAGTATAATTTAATTACTCAATTATTGTGGTGAAATTAAGTAGATTTTTAATAAATCTTATTTAAGAAGACTATACAGGCTGTTTTTGTTAATCATTGAATTAAATTAATTTAAAGTTGTTATCTAGAACACTATACAGGCTGTTACTTAATATGCATTTAATTAAATTATTATAAAATTGCTACTAGAACACTATACAGGAAGTTTCATTTTAAATTATTTACTGTCATCAAAACTCTCATACAGGGTGTTCTTTTTAAATTATTTACTGTCATCAAAACTCTTATACAGGGTGTTCTTTTTAAATTATTTACTGTCATCAAAACTCTCATACAGGGTGTTCTTTTTAAATTATTTACTGTGATCAAAACTCTTATACAGATGTTCTTTTTAAATTATTGACTGTCATCTAAACACTATACAGACTGTTGTTTTTACATAAATATCAGAAAACTCACGTGAAAGCACTAGCGACGTCCACTCCGTGCCTACTCATTATCGTCTCGCAGGCGAACTTCATCCTCAATACGCAGTACTCCAGCTGTTCTGAAGGTTTGCGCAGAGACGGATGCAGGTGTTCAGCTAGATACAGATTTAATTTAGGATCATCTTTCTCCTGGAACAGAAGAAATATCCACGTTAGCGACATGTAATTTATCTAATATTATAAATGCGAAAGTTTCGATGGACGTTTGTTAAAAGATATCTCTAGAACGGCTGTATAAATCGTTGAAATTTGTCATAGATGTAGAACATAGTCTAGAAAGACACACATGCTAATATTGTTTTTAATACGCGCAAACGGAGTCGCGGGCGACAGCTAATTTATAAGATGGCATGCACATGATTTTGCTTACATGTCCAGACATTTGCAATTACAGATGTATTACCTACCTTTAAAGTACAGAAGACAGGATGAACAGACAGACAATATTTCCCTATTCCCATGTATATAAATTTTATAGTAATTAGACATTGGAAAGGTTTAGTTGTGTTTGTTATTAATTTTTAATTATGTACTTACCTGATGTCTGTCAGCAAGAATTTTCTTCAAGATGAAAGTTGGATTGAACAACGGGTTCCTTATTTGTTTGATCTCTTCAGACATCATCTTACCCGCATGATGTATACCATTTAGTGCTGGAAATTATACAGGATGATTCTGATTGTGTCAAAGTTGTTTAAAAAATTATGTTTTAGTGAAAGTGTTGCAGATATAGTAAACACAATGCAGTATATATAGAGCAGTATAAAAGTGCTAACATGGATTATGTTAACTACAGGTTGTCCTAAAGAAATGGATCAATGAACTTATAAAATTAACAATTAAGACAGGAGAATTTTGCCTACAGGTGTCCTAAAACGAATGGGCTAGTTAACGTAATTATTAAACAATAACTGAACATCCTGTGTAAGGCATATGACATATAAATTATGAAACAAGTTTTTTTCTAATATATTATTGACACATTTAAAGAGTCTTAAATCTATGATATAAAATAAAATATTAAAAAACGAATAATTAACAAAAACCTATTATTAAAAGGAGTCCCTTTAGGCAAGTTTCCGATGATACTGGCAGAGTTCCCCCTTTGAATAGCTATACCAATTCTTTGTTCGTGGTAGCTGCCAGCTCTTCGGTCTCCTGTCGATTCACTTTTTTGATATTCCCTTAAAAAGCCTTTAAACGCTAGGACCATACGGACCAAGGGTCTCGACACCGAATGGGACAAAATGATATTCGGAGCCTAGACACATTTAAAGTTGAATGTATGTATGGATTATGTTAAAGATTCAGCTGACAGAGATGTATGGAAAAGATTGGGAAGGGCAAGTTTTTTTTAAATTTCTACCTATACTCTATGCTTACCTATAAACATATTTACATTGTCTATAGTTTCTCCTGTTAATGTCAAAGTTCTCATATTTTGCAGCAATTGTAAAGTTTCCTCTTTCATTTCAATATTTGGTATCGCTATTAACTTTAATAAAGCATTTAAACCTTGCTCCGCTATAAAATTTCTGTTAAATAATATTTCTTATTAATATACTAGCTGTTCCCCGTGACTCCGTCAAGCACAGAAAGAAAAAAAAAATTTAGTAGTCTATGTGTTCGTCCAGACTATGTTCTATATGTATGACATTCAGCGAGATGTATAAAGCCGTTCTTGAGGTACTTTCGTAAAAACATCCATCCAAACATTCGCATTTATAATATTAGTAAGATAGTAAGACTAGCTGTTTCCCGCGACTCCGTTGGAGGTATAAAAAAAATAGCCGTAGTAGAATTATATGCATATAAAATAAAAATAAAAATCGGTCAGGATGTTTCGAAGTATGGTAACATACATTTATAAATCTATTCAGTTAAAAATTACGTGTCTGTTAAATAAAAAAAAATATATTTTCCTTCCTATTTTCAGAACATGATGTATATTATCGTTGCTTATAACAAAAAAAAAATTGTCTGTTTGTCTGTAAGTTCGCATTTGTTTGTTTGTTTAATCTCCGGGACTATTAGACCGATTTTAACGTGACTTTTACTAGAAGATAGCTCATGAATGTAGGAGTAACTTATACTATTTTTGTCAAATACAGGACGTAATACTTCTTACTACTATTATAAATGCGAATGTTTGGATGGATGGATGGATATTTCTTTGAAGTAATCACCAGAACATAGTCTGGAAGAACACATAGGCTACTAATATTTCCGTGCGACAGCTAGTCTTAAAAAAGTGTCTTAACAGACGGACAGACAACAAAATGATCCTATAAGGGTTCCGTTTTTTCCTATGAGGTACGGAACCCTAAAAACAATATAAATATGAATGTTTAGATGTATGTTTGTTAGTAGATATCTCCAGAACATCTTAATATATCTGTTATATGTCATAAAAGAACATAGTCACGAATATATAGCTTGGAATTTCTTTCCTCGGACTAATTTAAAGTTTAAACTGACCTGCACATAGCCATTTCCAGTTCAGCATCAGGATCCACATAACCATCAAGGAGACCAGCTGTGAAATACTCTGCACTTTCCGATGCATATATTTTGAGTAATGCCTCTCCTATCACTAAACGAATCGTTGAAACTTCAGACATTGGCTTACCTAAATACAATTTTTTATATCATAAAGTGTTAAAAAATAGAGCGTCTCTGGCTCAGTGGTCAAGCACTTGACTTGCAATCTGCAGGTCCTGGGTTCGAATCCCGACATGTACCAATGTGTTACATATGTACTTTTATCTTATGTTCTTACGGTGATGGAAAACATCGTGATGCTGCACATATCTGAGAAGAAATTCAAAGATATGTGTGAAGTCAACCCGCACTTGGCCAGCGTGGTTGAGTATGACCTAATCACCCTTAACTTAGGGTAGGCTCCGAGCCCCTCAGTGGGGACGTATAGTGAGCTGATGATGATGAAAGTGCCAAACAGCCTATAGACATTTGTAATTGCATGTCTTCATCATCAGCTCATACATCCCCACTGAGGGTCTGACCTATCCTAAGGTGACTAGATCATAGTGAATGCTGGTCCATTGCGTCACTTCACACATATCTTTGACATTCACAGATATGTGCAGCATCAACATGTTTTCCTTCACACTAACAATATAAGATAAATGTTCATATGTAAAAACACATTGGTTTAGTCGAGATTCGAACCCAGGACCTGCTGACAAGTCAAGTGCTTAACCCATGAGCCACCAACGCTCTGTGTTATATATATATGTACTAGCGGAGCCGACAGACGTTGTCTGACAATTTGACAGTGCGATGTTAGCGCCGTCTGTCGGATCCAATGTAAAACATTCCAAAATCAACAACTACTAATAAATTAAAAAATAATTAAAAAAAACATTGTCCAGCGGACAAAATTGTGAATATAAACCATTCCCAGATCCCCTTGAACACACACAAAAAATTTCATCAAAATCGCTCCAGTCGTTTGAGAGAAGTTCAGTGACATACACACTCACAGAAGAATTATATATATAAATATATTAAGTTATTACCTGAAAATATCTTTGGTGATATATATTCATTGATCGTCTTCACAGCTTGCCATAGACTAGATCGAGATAGTGCAGCCGTATAAAGTCTAGACACACCTAATGTTTTAGCTAAATTCTCTTCCGTAGTCATATCTAAAGGTATTGCTGGAAATAAACGTACTTATTATATTCATCATCATTTCATCATCAGCTCACTATACGTCCCCACCGAGGGGCTCGGAGCCTACCTAAGTTAAGGGTGATTAGCCCATAGTCAACGCTGGTCAAGTGCGGGTTGACTTCACACATATCTTTGAATTTCTTCTTAGATATGTGCATCACGATGTTTTTCTTCACCGTAAAAACGTCGGATAAATGTACATATAATCGGAAATGGAAAAACACATTGGTACATGGCGGGATTTGAACCCAGGACCTGCAGATTGCAAGTCAAGTGCTTGACCACTGAGCCACCGACGCTCTCACTTATTATATTACAAAGATATTAGTATCAAGAAATTCTCGTGTCACAATTTTCGTTCCCATATTCCTCCGAAACGGCTTGACCGATCTCATGATATTTTGTGAGCATATCGAGTAGGTCTGAGAATCGGCCAACATCTATTTTTAATCCGCGGACGGAGTCCCGGGCGACAGCTAGTCTATATATATATAAAAATCAATCGCTATTCGTTAGTCTAGCTAAAACTAGAGAACAGATTTATCTTATCTTGTTCTTGAAATGTTCGTGGAGATCTAGGGAAGTTTTAGAAGGTGAGAAAAATTCTAATAATCGACTGGAATAAATTAAGGTTTTATCTAATCCATGCGGACGGAGTCAAAGGCGACAGCTAGTTTAAAATGCACAGAAAGAAAATATTTTCCCTTTCCATGCATCCTCTCATCCGGAAAGTACACTTCCACTTCCCATCCTTTCCTTATGAGAAATAGGGTAGAAAGGGAAAGAGGACTAAATTAGGCCTCCGGGACGCACACTCATCAGACGAAACGCTGAATAGCTTCCACTTGACGCCTGTCTTCTGTGTGGTCGTGGTATACCCCCGGGCGGGCTGGGACAATGTTAAAGAGGGCTCTATTACTGTAATCCGATTTATTTTAGACCTATGAAAGTCAGAGGAATACAAATACACATTCAATCTTACTAATATTATAAATGCGAATGTTTAGATGTTTGTTAGATGATATCTCCAGAACTGCATAAATCTCGCTGAAATTTGGTATAGATAGAACATATGACATAGCATCAATAGCTTTATAGTTAAGGGTACGGCTTTCCGATCACGTGACCGTGAGTTCGAATCTTACATTCGAGTATTGTAAACCATATCCTATCACAAATCTAGATCTTAGTTGGAATGGTACGAGAAATATTACTAAATTAACAAAAATCTATGCTAAAGCTAACGGTTAACAGCTATTTAATAAATCTTACCTGGCGTCTTCATAAATGTTATATATGTTCCATTATGATTTACACCATAAGCTCCGGGATGTACTAAAAACATTTTAAGCCGATTTGTATCAACTATACTTAACACTAAGTAATATTCAGATGATTGTAGACATATCTTCTCTCCTGATATACGCCATACACCTGAAATAATCATGGATTTATTCATTCATCATCAGCTAACAATCCCCACTGAGTCTCAGAGTCTACCCTAAGATAACTATGTCATAGTGAATGCTGGTCCAGTGCGTCACTTCACACTTATCTTTGACATTCACAAATATGTGCAACATCACGATGTTTTCCTTCACACTAACAACATAAGATAAATGTACATATGTAACACATTGGTGCATGGCGGGATTGGAACCCAGGAGCTGCAGATTAAAGCAGCAGACCAAAGCCTAAATTACGTAAACAATGGAACATCAAATTCCATGGTGGCCATTGCATTATATTATTTGTTCAGTTAAATTGTAAAATAAGAGTCATCCTCATCAGCTCACTATACATCCCCACCGAGGGGCTCGGAGCCTACCCTAAGTTATGTGACTAAGTCATAGTCAATGCTGCGCCAAGTGCGGGTTGACTTCACACATATCTTTGAATTTCTTCTCAGATATGTGCAGCATCACGTTGTTTTCCTTCACCGTAACAACATAGGATAAGTGTACACATGTCAATCGGAAATAGAAAAAAACATTGGTACATGGCAGGATTCGAACCCAGGACCTGCAGATTGCAAGTTAGGTGCTTGACTCCTGAGCCACCAACCTAATTTTATCTAGTTATTTTGAGACTAACCATGTGTTTTTGAAATCTCTGTGTAATATATATTGTCATCCCTTTCATTATCTTTAACCAAACAGAGATAACAATATATTTAAAAGAAGATTTTTGTGTCTGTAAACACAGATAGTGTTTTAGTAGATATATGTTAAGTTTTTAGATTGGAATCTGTACTGACCATTCTCATCAAGTTCAGCGTAAGTCCTAAAGTCAGCTTGTGATATCCTCTCAGCTACTCTCTCTCTTATACATAATGCTATCATATTATCACCAGTTGTTAAATCATCAATAACCTTTTCGTACATATCCTCCGCTAAACCAATCTTTAAAGCATTCAAACCAACCCAATGATCACTTAATTGCTGACTGAGCTGTAAATCTGTACTTATAGTCTCTAAATAACGAAGACTTTCTGTATAATTGGTTGCTAAGCCATTCTTAGTTAAGGCAACCGGGGCTGCATACATTTTTGTCCCTTTTAAAGCGTTTTTACGGTCTTCTAAAGTTTTATCCGGGTCGGAAAAGACGCGATCGAGCGCCGCAATCCGCTGGTCTAAGGCTTCAGACTCGTCTTTGTTTAAAATCTCAGGATAAGCAAGCAAATCCCGGTTAAAAATGCTAACGAATACATTTTTCATAAAAGGCGGAATTTGAGCTTTTCGACGCTCGACTCGTTCTATAAGTTTCAAGTCTTCAAAATCGTATTTCTCGTCTTTAACTTGAGGTTGAGTGGAAGATTCATATCGATTACTGGATATTGCAAATTTTCTCGAAAATCTCTTGTTGATACTTTGATACCGTACAGTACAAATTTTACGGGCTATATTCATTTTTAGAAGTTAACCAATTGTTTCGCTACACTTATTTTGCATTAATTTTTATTAAAATCTTAGCTAACTTATTAAAAGATATTTAACTTCAAATATTTGGAATACATAAAATTAAACCTTTTATAGGTTAGTTTTTTGACAATAACAAAATGACAGTGACATTTTGACACTTTTGTATTGTTTTTATTTGTGCAAAATTTTTTAACCTTTTAAGAAAAGTTGTATTATCTTAACATATTATTTTAATTAAATCAAAGTTTCAAAGTTGATAAATTATAAATTTATTACGACTTTCGTAATTTTGAATAATAGTAAAGAAGTAACAAAATCTCACACATTTTATAAAAGCGCCATCTGTGACCTAATTCTGAATTTAATTTATTTAAACTTTATCTTGTGATTTTTCATTTTTTCTTAGCTGTTACAAGCCAAGAATAAATTAAGTAAGTTCTTATTTTATATTAAGCTCTATTCAAATATTAAAATGTATATATATACTTAATTAAACTATTATTTCTTGTTCCTTAGATAATTAAATTTAATTAATCTATCAATTACCGATATTTGCTAAATATCATATAGTAAAAATAACTATAAATTATAAGGTACGAATAAATAAATGGCGGATTATGGATTGCCTTTTAGTCCCTTCAACTTGTGTAGTGTTGATTTTTAAAATTTAAATAATAATTAAGTTAATTTTATACATATGAAAAAGTTAATTTCAAGCAAACTAAAATAATAGACAGAATAATTATAACCAAATTCACTTTTTTCTTTAAAAAGTAAAATAAAAAAAATACAGTTCTTAAATTATGTTTCGAAATTCGAACAAAGACTGAAGCTTCAATATTAATTTTATATGGACATCTTAATTTCATGATTCATAAAATTCAAAGCAAGTTAATGAACAACCCTTTCTAATTTGCATGCGGTCAATCCAACCCTCATCAACTCCTGGTTATTAAGCCCTATTATATTTACTCTGATATCATACAACTATAAATATGCAAGACAAAAACAATTACTTCAATTTAATTAAATACCAGTTTTATTAGCAGGCAACACTGAATGATGTAGTGATGTGACATTAATAGCGGTTACACATCGACATGAAATAGCTGTTACAAAAACTGTTATTTGTCAACGTCAAATTCATTATGTGTATTTGTTTGGATGGGAAGGTAGACTTTTAAAATCATTAAATATTATAAATCGTATAAGATGAATCCAAGGTGATTTTTATGGAGGTTCAAAAAGACAGGATAATCTGATGTTTTATATCTAGAATTATTAAAAAAAAACATTAGTAGAAATAACAATTCTGTTATGATGATTATAACGAAAATGCGATAGCGTAAAACAAAATTCCGTATTCCACGGACTTCCCTTCAGCTTAGGGGATGGGGCTGAATGCGGGGTAAGATTACAGCCACCCCAATACGTTTATTGGAATTTCAACTTAATAGTATAACACGTAAGGTACATAATCGTGTAATAATGTCTGATTTATATTATTTTACATAACCATGTCTATGTATTCCCATGAAATAATCAGTAGGATTTCTTCTTTGATGCGATGATGTGTGTTGAGCGAAGTGTGTAGTGTAATTGCTTAAAATAACGTGTGTTCAATTAAAATAATTGTGTTTTTGTGTGTTCTATTGTGTAGTTTATGTGTAAGGTAGTGTTTAATACTGTAAATTATAATAATTTAGATGTTAAATGTTGAATGATTAGTTTGGATAATACTAAGCAAACATGAGATTGTATGAGACAAGAAAATATTGATAATTTCATGTTGCTGTGGTTAGAAGGAAAATTATTAATGGTAAGTTATAATACGACAGTAATTCTCTATTTTTTTACATGTGAAATTTTAAGGTTAAATAGGTTAATGTGATAAATTAAACGATGTCGATAATTGATCTAATTAGTTGTAAGTAGAACATCACTAATATTTGATATTCTTTAATTCTATCAACCGAAAGGCAAAGGTATTCTTGTTTTACTGCCAAATAGTTTTTACTCCAATGAGTTTTTAATTGAATTGGATATTTTTTCTCATTTATTTTATAATACTACTATCCAAAGGAAACTAATACTTTAGTTATAATATTATTACAAATAGAATATTGTGTTTTTTTTAATTAATCTTGATCGATGAAATCAATACAGATTAAAAAAAAAGTTTATATTTGTCAAAATTAATTTAGTTTGTTTTGTTTAAACAGTAAACAATTGTTCCTTAGGGAGAGTTTTCGAGGTTATAATTAGGAATGAATAACTAATATAATAATACGATCTTGTACAATTACCGTGGGTTTCTAAGACTATCTATGTGTTAAATATATCTTTGACACAAAAGAGATAATATGTTTTGAACGGACACTTTGGCGTCAGAATCCCACGGTTAAGGAGTTATTCTTATAGCAACAGTTAAGTTTTTTAAAGTATGTACGTAATTTATATGTATTTTATTTATAACCCTGTTTATTATATAACTTAGGGTCATTAAAATCACGAAAATTTAACAACAAAGTTGTGTTTCTACTTTTTTGCGAAACTTGTTGTGTTGTAAAAACACAATAGGTTAATTAAGGTCTCAATAATTAGGAAAAGAAATTAAATCTATATCTCTAAATGTAAAATAGAAATTTTAAGGAGAAACTTCTCGAAGACATGTTTTTATACTAAGACAATTTGTTTATGAAGATATCGTTTGGAGATACGTTATCCGCTCCTGTGAGTTTCGTTATAAAAAGTTGGTAATTCCTTTTTATTAAACAATATTAATATAAATCGTATATATTTTTATCCAACTGAAAAATAGGGTTATGTTTTTCGCGCGTATATAAGTTTTATTACGTCGCCCCCGACTCCGGTTACGCGTAGTTAAAAAAGAAACTAAATTAGTAGTCTACGTGTTTTTCCAGACTATGTTCTATATCTATGCCAAATTTCAGCGAGATCTGTTCAGCTGTTCTGGAGATATCTTCTAACAAACATCTAAACATTCGCATTTATAATATTACTATCGGTCGCCCGCGACTTCATTCCCACGGAATTAAAAAACATAATAAGTAGCCATTTGTTCTTCCAGATTAAATTCTACATCTGTGCCAAATTTCAGCGAGATCTGTTCAGCAGTTCTGGAGATATCTTCTAACAAACATCAAAACATACGCTTTTATAACATTACTTGCGGTCGCTAGCGACTTCGTTCGTAGCCTATGTGTTCATCCAGACTATGTTCTATATGTAAGCCAAGATTCATGCACTCGTTCTGGAGATACATTCAAACAAACATCCATTAAAATATTCGTATTTATATTAATGCGAAAGATTCCAAATGCATAAATTAAAGTTGTTTTAATTTATGTTTTAATTTAATTTACATCGTACGCTTTATGTCGTTATATGTGATGGTAAAACCTCAACATATGTATGAAATTAGGGTAATCTGAGCCTAGCATTTAGCTCGCGGCATAAGCATTAATCTATCTATATATATAAAAGAAAGTGGTGTTAGTTACACTATTTATAACTCAAGAACGACTTTACCGATATGCCTGAAAATTGTTGAGGAGGTAGCTTAGAGCCAGGAGACGGACATAGGATACTATTTATCCTTTATTTCCGAATTTATACCTTGAATAGCTGCTTTTTATTTAACTTAACATTATAAATGCGAATGTTTGGATTGGATTGGATGGATGTTTGTTTTAAGATATCTCCGGAACGGCTGTATAGGTTTTGCTGAAATTTGTCATAGATGTAGAATATGGTCTGGAAGAACACATAGACTAATTATTTTTTTTTTAATTTCACCGGGACGTAATCGCAGGCGACAGCTAGTACTAACCAAATACAATATTCCTTTGAAAGAAACTTCGCTAATGTGTCAGGAAATAGAAGTTTTTGTATATTACTTGCGTCAGCATAAAACTTTTAATAAGCTAATTTCTAGTTGCAACTTAGTTTGAAAGTTAAAAGATGTTTTATAACTTTAAAGTTGAGATAAATAACTTTAAGATATCTAAGTCGAACAAATGTAGAATTAAAGGAAGGCCTTTTTAGCAGACTTCAAAAATAAGGTTATCACTTCGAATTTACTTTTAATGTATGGTGACCGCGTAACTCCGATCCTGGTGCTGCTGTGCCTGGTGTGCCTAGTGTGCCTGGTGTGTTGATGTGCCTGGTGCTTTTATTTTATATTGAGGTAAATTTCTTTAGCGCTCTAATCTTACCTATCTTACTAATATTATAAATGCGAATGTTTAGATGGATGTTTGGCGGTTTCTCCAGAATGGTTGAACGTATTTTAATGAAATTTGGCACACATGTAGAACATAGTTTGGAAGAACACATAGGCAACTAATTAGGCTTTCGTACCTCTAAAGAAAAAATTCTAAGTTCACGGGAAGTATCATGTAGGTTTTGATTCCCTTGCGAATGACGAAAATTTGCGTAAATTTGCGACATAAACGGTTGTATCTTTTGTTTGCATTGGTTTAGAAGTTTTATTTTTTACAGCACCTAGCGACCGCAGACCTCAACATTTGATATAAATTCCAGCTTGATACCTTCACGTGTTTCTGAGAAAAAGGGTCTTGACAGACGTACGGACAACAAAGTGATCCTATAAGGGTTCCGTTTTTTTGCAATGAGGTACGGAACCCTATAAACGGAACTTTGTTGTCCGAACTATTTGTCAAGACCCTTTATCACTGGAACCCGTGAGATATCAAGACGTTTATATCGAATACTGTGCTCTACTGCCCTAAGCTTCTAAGCCAAAGCAATGAAAAGAAACGCAAAAACCGTTTTTTTCTTATATCTACAGGTTGGTACGACAATCGGTGCACGGTTCATACTTGCACTTGGCTGGTTTTTTTCTTAAAATAACCCACAAAAAAAATCGTAACGGCCGCCATGTTTAAAATTTGACGTTTCTTTTCCTGCGTTGTTCCATTGTTTCTTTTATCGATGTTTTATGAAAGCAAATTACATTTAACATAAGAGTAGGTTTACATACCTATCTATCCTTAGTTACTCAATCGGGTCCGCTTTAAAGTATGTTAACGTACCGTATATCGATTAAACCGAAG